ACCACTCGTGCTCTCGGCCTGTATCTAGCACTCGGAGGCAGAGGGAGGGAGGATTGCTTGAGACCAGGAGTTCGAGGACCAGCTCTGGCAAGAGGAGGCCCTGTCTCTACTAAAAAATATATATAAAAATTAGCCAGCGTGTGGTAGCACGTGTTGTACCCGCTACTTGGAGGCTGAGGCAGAGATCGCTTGAGCCAGGAGATTTTGAAGGTTGCTGTGACTGGTGGCAACATGAGACGCCTGTCTCAATTGAAAAAAAAGTATGCATAGTGAAATTAATTTGAATTAAGAATCTATAAAATGTTTTCAGAAGCTTCCACTCCTAATTCACATCTCAGCATAAGACCTTCAACCCAAGTTGCAAAGAATTACAGAATCAGAAACCTTTAAAAAGTCAACGTCGTTTTCTCTGATAAATAGTGTTTCACCTCATTAAAAAAATTTCATTGTAAAAGTGTTCCATTTTTCATAGTTTGGAGGAATGGGAAGTTACTAGCTTTTCACAGTATATTTCAAGCCAAGTGTCAGCCTGACACACTGTCCCCTCATGTGTGCGTTCGTACTTGTTACTTGACAATCATCTCTCAATACTTTTGAAACCACTTTTCTTCCGTGTTCAGTAAATGACATCATATCCTCAGTTCTCGGACAATCTTGAGTCCTCTTCCGTCACACCTCACATCCAACCAGCAGGGCTTTTTCCTTGTTTATTTTCTGTCTGCTCTCATTGAATGTAAGCTCTGAGTGAGGAGGGATCTCGTGTCCTGTTCATAAACAAATCCTCAGCGTCTAGAAGAGTGCGTATTAGGCATAGTTATTGAATGAATTAATAAAAACATTAATAATTTTTGGTATAAATATGCATGTCGTTAGATGAGATTTCTTTTAATAGACCCATATTTGTGGGGGGCAGTTATAGTTTCACACAAACTGAGAGGCAAATACAGAAGTTTCCCATAACACACAACAACCACACACATACACACCACACACACAACACACACCACACGCATACTTTCCATTACCAGCATCCTCACCGCAGTTACATTGTTACAACTCAGAACCTACTGTGTTTCCGAAAATAAGACAGCGGGCTTATATTTATTTTCTCAAGAAGACACCCTAGGGCTTATTTTCAGGGGATGTGTTATTTTCCCCTCAAAGCCCTCAGCTTGCAGCACGCACAGGATGTCTGGGACCTTACAGGGAGCCACCTTGTTAGTGGCTGCCCGTTACTTATCTGGTCATCTCTGGGGATATAGCTGTCATGATGGGCCACGGTGACAAGGCTGCTTGTCTCTTTACCGTTCTGCGAATGAAATGCATGGCTGTGAGATCGCTGTTCGCCACGCCCATCATAGGCTTATTTCACGGTAGGGCATATATTTGCAAATGCTTAGATATTCTGTTAGGGCTTATTTTATGGGTAGGTCTTATGTGGGGGGCAAACATGGTACATCGAACAATCAGTGTCACCAAGAGTCATAGTTATGTTAGGGGCTCCTCTTGGTGTTGTCCATTCTGAGGGTTTACACGATTTGTGTGAGACACTGATCGCCGTACAGCCCACACAGGTAGTTCACTGCATCTGAGGTGCCTCCATGTTCCCAACTCTTCACCCCTCCCTCAACCCCTGGCACCACTGATCTCTTCACTATCGCCTTAGTTCTGACTTTTCCAGAATGTCATGTGGTTGGAATCTGCATAGATTCACTCTTTCTTAGTCGATTTCAGTTCTTCAGTCTTTTCACGCCTGATAGCACCTTTTTTTTCAACGCTGAATATAGTTCTATTGTCTGATGTCACAACAGTTTATTACCTGCTCACCCACGCGAAGGACATCTTAGTTGCTTTCAAGTTGGCCATTATTAAGAAAGCTGCTATTAAAATCCAAGTGTAACTTTTTGTGGGACAGATTTCCACCTTCTTTGGGTAAACATCAAGGGAGTGGCATTGCTGATGTATAAGATTGTATGTTTTATTTTGAAGAAACACCGTTGTTGTCTTTCAAGTGCCATGTATGTTGTGCGCATTCCATTCTCATCAGCAGCGACTGAGAGTTCCTGTTTTTCCAATCCTCATCAGCATTTGGTGTTGTAGTATTCTAGATTTGGCCTTTTAGTAGGTGGCATAGTATCTCCTTGGGTTGTTTGCATTTCCGCGAGACTGTAGTGCATATCTTTTCATATGCTTATTTGCCCATGGTGTATCTTCTTTGGTGAGGTACTCGTTAAGGTCTGTCCATTTTGAAATCAGTTGTTTTATTATTGCATGATTAGGCTGATTCTTGAAACACATAGAATATCATATAAGAGATGAAACGTTGGTTCCCAATCCTTTGTATCCCAGAGATTACCCTATTATTAGCCATATTAAAACTGACTCTTTCTTAAAAGTAAAAATTGTGATACATTTAGCAACTTGATTTCTGAAGATGAATTGCAGCATCAAAGAAAATTAATTTTAAGGCTTTTAAGGACACATTGGGAATACTATGTAAGTTTTCTGAAGTTTTTTTTTCCCTCATAAAATCATAAATAGTATTATTTACATTAGTAAAATTGAATATACCTTAATGTTTCATATTTCATCACATGATATACATAATTTAATTATAGCCTGATACTTCCTTTTGCATGACATTATTCTTCCTATTTGAGTTTTTTAAGAACATCAGGATGGGTATCAGTATATAATTTTCAGGCATACTTCTTGATATCAGAAGAGGAAACTACACAATTATGAAAACATTTTTAAGAGTCTCTATGCACACTGCCAAATTCGTTCTAGAAAAATAGTTACATTAATGAACAGGAGTGCCTGATTTTACCCTCTTATAATATATATACCCTTAGCATTTACTTTTTGCTGAAGGGCTGGCATAAATTTTTTTTAAAGGCAAATTTCAAGAAGACTTTCATCTAAAATTATAGGAAGCTGATTTAATTTTAGTTTTTAAAATTTATTTGTGTTTGTTAGAAGCAAATATATAGTATGATCATTCACCTCCGAATAAGTATACGTTTATGAAATTTCCTCATATTTGCTGCCCTATATCGAGCCATTACAACAACATCTTGAGGCAGAAAGAGAAGGGTGCTAAAGATTGCTACTTGCTTTCTAATTCGTCTTTGCCGTTTTCCATAATCCCTGAATCATTTAGCTAGAACAAATGGTCCAAAGTAAAGATACCATTTCTCTTTGCAGTGAGCATGTTATCTAGCTACTTTGTTTTGCCAGTGGTATGTACAGTTGGAGTGTCATATGGCATTCACAGGAATCTTTTAAAAGAATGCTGTTGACGGTGTGGCTCCTTGAACCCTTTTCTTCACTCATCCCAGTTATGTTGGAACATATGATAATACCGTCGTTGGGCCACCGAGCATGGAGGTTAGTGGAATCCAACGGGTTGGGACAGAAGCAGACAAGACCGCATAAATCGGGGACATCGCGTTGCCCTGCCCTGAAGAGGCCAGAGGCCATCAGCCCACCAGATCACATGCCCTGTGGGCACGAGATCCAGTGCGGCCACCTTATCTAGAGGGACTACAAATACAATTCTAATTCGAGAGCTCTCAGTTTTTTAAATGTTGAGAGTTTTATGTTTCTACAAAAATGGCTTTGTGTTTTAGAGGAACTGTGTTAACGCTCTAAGGAGTCTTTAACCTTTCTAGATTCTGTCCAAATCGAATGTTGACTGGACGCAGGCTGGGTGGTTTGGAGAAGGATGGGGCGCCTGGGCGAAGGCTGGGGCACTCTGCAGACTGACTTGGAACCAGAGTCTCGGCGTGGAGAGCATTTGGCCCCGGGAGGCCGGGGACTACCCAAATTCTCAGTCTGTTTACGAAGCTAAGCACTTGGATGGAGACCCTGAGTAAAGAAGGGAGGGAGAGATAGAGGATAACTAAAAAACATGGCCCGATTAGAGTTTTGCCTGGGATGTCAATATTCATAAATATGAACAACACTGGGCATATATCGTGTGGTTGTTCGAGGTCACAAAATAGATCTTGTGGCCTAAATTGACAAGATATTTATTTCCAAAATTAAAACAGTTGAAATGGCCTGGCATACTTAGTTGGTGACATAACCTAAGAAGGAAGGATATTTCAAATAACTTTGTAAACAGCGATTTGTCTGTGTGATGTACTCTAAGAAGCAAAAGAATGCAAAGATAGTGTTTCCAACCAACACAACAGCTTTGGCCTTGAAATGAATGTATTCTGTTCCTCACGGGAACCGAGCGAGCCCCGTCTTGTGACCTGTTGCTTCAGCGGCTCATCTCATGTGAGGCTGGAGCCCGCTTTGCCTGTAGCACAGGCCTTCTGCTCTTTCCATTAGTCCAAACCAGTTCCACACCACTTATGGTTAGAAAGGGTGTATTAAAATGGAGCACACACTTGGAAAGCAAACTGTGATTTCGTCCTTTACAGAATTTATCGATTCTTATGCGGAAGAATTATATGACACTCGTGCCTGGGTGCAGGTGGCTCACCGCCTGTAATCCTAAGCTCTCATGGGATGCTCAAGGTAGGAGTTCGAACTAGACTGAGCAGAGCAAAGACCCGCTCTACTTGAAAAATGAAAGAAAGTTAATTTGGCCAACAATAATATATACGAAAAAATTAGCTGGGCATGGTGGCGGCTGGCTGTATCCCACTACCGGGAGGCCTGAGGCAGAGGACTCGTTGAGCCCGGTGGTTTGAGGTGTGTGAGCATAGGCTTGATGCCACACCGCTCGTAGCCTGGCAATGGAGTGAGACTCTGTCTTAAAAAAAAAAGAATTATGCAACCCATCAACCCTGTCAGCGATATGATGGTATTAAAATGCACGATGCATGGACATTTGATCAGGAGGGGGGTTTTAGAGGTTTCGTTAACAGAGATGTTGCAAGGACGTTTTTGGTATAATTATGAAATTATCTTTGTGGCAATGGTGTAAAGTGATATGAGTCAAAGACACCCGTTGGTGATTTTAAGAGAATGGGCCCCCTGAACACCGCTTCTCAGCTGTGTAATGGGGGCGCTGTTCGACCCCGCGCTGGGCCTGAACTCATCCATGCTGTAAGGGAGATCAATTTTCATTACTCTTTACAGGGCTGATGTGAGGATATAAGTAAGTTCATGAATGCAAAGCACTTTTTTTTAAGACAGTCCCTGTCTCAGAGTAAAACACTATAATTATTAATATTATTTGTATTCTAATAGTAAGATTATGTATCATTCTTAACTTTACTTTATAGTAACAAAATACTTCAACTAGTATAATTTGAGGATGATAGTTTTGTCACCTCATATTTGTCATATTGTATATAACATAAAAATTATAGGAGGGGCATATAATATATCTTTCTCATTTATGAAGAGGCATAAAATAGGGAAGGATGTGCCAAAAAAAAATAATTCTGAGAATTAAATGAAACAAAGGAGAATAATTATAAAATGTATCCTGGAGGGAATTCACATTAGGTTGAAAATTATGATGGCCTAATTTAAATGAGACACTTTTTATCAAATGTCCTGAATTAAAAGTCATAGCTAAATGTCCTGTGATGAATCTTGTCAGCTGGAACACACAGAAATATATTTATATGTAAAACTGCATTTTGTTTTATCTTCAAAACCAGAAGTCTTGAGTTTTGAAATTCTTTTTGTGGTCAATATGTTTTGAGATATTAAGATTTGTCCTTTCCTTACATGAATAGAGTCTTTCACGCGAAAGAGTTATGGCTCGCTCAGGTTTCTACTTGGGAGGGCACTCCTCAAGATGCCAGATCTTTTGAAACATGAGAACATCTTTTTAGAGGTTAAATTTGCCTAATATAAATAGAGGTCATCACATGCTCAGCCAATCATAGCAAACACATGGTGGCACAAAATATTTGGATGGAGAGAAAAATACCTTCCCTGGACGGACCCTCTGTGGACTTTATGGGCATAGAAGAGACATTTTAGAGAAAAGCAAATGTTCTTTGGCTGCTTACTGATAGAGTGGAAGCCTAATTAATATGAAATAATCAGTGGTTGGGTTGGTGTATGGTGATGAAAAGCTGTTAGTCCTTGGCCTTACACTTTAGAGGTGTTTTCTTTTAGAGTACAGCTTGGAGACATAGTTCAATAACTTCTTAAAAGACGATGAGAAATATATATAGCCACTAGTCTCGCTAAGGCAAGTGTAAAGGAAAAGGTCATTTCACTCGTTACAATGGGTATTTAGTAAGCTTCCTGTTTTTACTTTTTTGCTGTTTACTTTATATTTTATTTCAGAAGTAAGCAAGAAGTTAGGTTGGTTTTATTAATATTTGAAATATTCTCAAGCAAGAATCCCCTTATTCATGTATGGGTTTCTTAAGTTAACAACGTCGATTTAATGATTATGAAAATTCAAGCTTCCCTCTTAATTTCGCTTCCTGTCGTATAGTCATTAGAAATTTCAGCACATGAGGAACATCTTGTACTTTATTACTCGAAGAGGAAGATGAATTTAAATTACACCCAATGAGCTTGTACCCTGTGATATTTTTTTTTTTGCCAAACAAGAGCCATAGAATCGCTGTGTTTGTGGTGCTGGTCATCGAAGGATGTTTAATTCCTTTTAATAGCATTCCTTATTAAATACACATACGCACAAACATGGGAAGAATTATTGACTAGCCTGTATTTTGGATCACATCTACAAGGAACATCGTTGTGAAATAAGACCCAGAAGGGATCTGTGACAGGGCAGATGCCAGAAGTCAAGGTATGAAGGTGTTAAAAATATAATAGAATCTCACAGTTTATACAGAACCCAACTGATTTTATGTGTATTCTTTTCACCTTCCTGCCTGTTCTTGTTGTTTACCCTTTTGTCCATAATCTCCCATTTCCATGACAGAGTTCACTTACTTTGTTAGGCCTTCTTGGCCACATATATTCGACTCCACGCTGCTCACCTATGAATGTGACCAGGTGTCTGCTTGTTGTGCGTATTCACATCCTCAAGTGGCCATCGTAAGCTGACCGTGAGTATGGGAGCTGTCTTTAGCTATTAATCAGCTCATCTTATGTCCGCTTTAAGCCAGTGGACTCCGTGGCCCAGGAAACACGGGAAATAGACACCATTGCACTTACTAGCCTTGTGTATGATGATTGTGTCGTATGATATAGAGTGATATCATAATGAGGATTTTTTATGTGTCCAGGCACTTTTGCTAGATTTGTATACCATTTAAATCTCATGTTCTCATGGTTCAGAACTATTTGATTCTTTACAATAAGGGAATAAGACAGCAGAGATTAGGCACCGACAGGATTAAGTGTAGGGGAGGGGAGGTTTGACCGCCCTGTTGGGTCCGACCGTCACCGCTCTTATTGGTTTTTCAATCTGATTTATTAAGAGCTCGTTAGTTAATTCAGGCGAACTGTTCTGCGCACTTTGATAAGATAGCTCTTTTGCTTTTCCACTGGACTTTCTGCTCAGATTATTGCAATCCACTGGGGGCCACTGATGAGAGGGGAGGTTTGGCCTTTCGGTTGGATTTAGCCACTCAAATGTTCTGCTGGCTCTTGTTACGCCTGTGACCCTGAAATTCCTTCATGTGGAGGTCCCTCTGGAGTTGCTTGTGTATCTCCTCATCAGGAATGGCTCACCCTGCCCTAGAGTGAAAGGATGTCAGGATCAGAACATGATGCCTCCCCTTGAGTCACACACCCCTCTCCTCCTGAGCTCTTCTTGTCCTGCTTTCTGCTGGACATCTCCAGCCCAGCTTCTTCACACAGGGCGACTCAGCTCTGTTGTCCTTTCAACCCTGCTCCAAAGTAGGTGATTGTCTTGTCCCAGTGGAGTGTTTGACTGCCTTGAATTTTCTGTATTTCACGCCCACAAAGTGCTGAGGCACTTCACACAAACCAAGAGCCCCCATACACAACAAACACTGCTCTTTCCAATGAATCATCATGGATTATCCATACTGCCCATGTGCTTTCTGCCCATGCAGACCTGTGTACCTGTTTCTATTTCTCTATGTGCAGTGGTGGGTGCTGGGTTTAGACGCAAGGTCTCCACGAGAGTGGAGCAGGACAGAAGTGGCCTTGGAATAGCTGAGGATAGCTCCCTTAGCTCGGGGAACTCTTGTATTTTGAGGATTTTTAAAAAAATTGGTGGTTCAGCTCTGAGAAGTAGCAAACATTACATCTAATGCTGACCAGTTCTCCTGGGGTGATGTGTTCAGGCACATGGCTGTGTCAGTTAACTACGTGAGCTTATTGCTAGGGGCTATATCAAGAGTGAGTGCTCAGATCCAATATGGAAAGTGTGTTCACGATGCTGAAGATTTTCTTTTCTCAAAGCATCATGGGAAAAGAGCCCTGTCCTGGCGCCCACAGCAGTAGCTGTGCCAGAGGATTCTGTCTTTCCCACTGAGCTCTACATGCTACATGTGTAAACAAGCCTTGTTGACAAGTAAAACATTTTTCTTCCCAGCATCTTCCATCCTGAGGCTCATGCTGGACTGCCTTGTGTCTTCTGAAAAAGCAACTCCACTGCGGTCATGTAGGCTTGTTCTACCACAGCCGAAATTCACACAGCTTCACACCTGCAGGGAAACCGGAAATTGAAAGAACTTCCATCAGTAGGACCCTGGCCAGCTTGGCTGGGAGCCACTCCACTGGCTCAACACGGGGATGTGGGTAGCCTACATAAAGACATTGGATAGAAAATTATGCTATTCCACTGGCAGTGGCTTTTATTGGGGTTGGAGGCTTTGTAGGGCTTTCTAAACTTCAAGACATAATTTACCAAGGCTAATTTCTAACCAAAACTAGTGAACCTCTGCCATCACTGCACACATCAAGAGAGATCTGAGACAGACTGATCTGTCTTTTCCAGACTGGTTTAAGCATTTGGGGACTCTCTGGATGAGGAGCCTAGAGGGTGACAGACTGGATTAATAGAAAACTTGCTGCTGCCAAGAGGTGCAGACTCCAGTATTTGCATTTTGGTAATAGATAAGAAGAAGCTGGGGTGAACAGACACCTCACATGCTATATGTTAACAGAGATATGTGTGTATGCGACAGTGTGCATATTTATGCGTATGTTTTGGGAAAGGAGGAAATGTATGTTGAATATAACTAAGTACTATTTTCGGTGCATACCGGAGTGGTCAAAAGGTCCAAAATCACAGCGGAGTGTCCGCTGTGTAAGCAGCCCTTTGACTCTATCTTCCACTCCGTGAGGGCAGAGGACGACTTCAAGGAGCACGTCCTCAGGGCTTCGTGTGACGGTCCCGCTGTTCCAGGACGTCGCTCCCGTCCAGCTGTGACCAGGGAACTGAATGCTCCCGCACCCGGTGGTCCCGCGAACGGAACGACCACAGCTCCACCAGACACTGGGGTTCTGTTTGAAATGTCAGGCAGCGCAGCAGCAGGTGGACAAGTGGCGATTCCTGAGTTACTGAGTCAGTTTGC